TGCCCCGCTAATTAATCCCTGCGCTAATTAACCCCTGCGGGTCATTAACCTCTGCGGGTCATTTATCACTGCCCTGCTAATTAATCCCTCCTCTGCTAATTAATCCCTGCGCTAATTAACCCCTGCGGGTCATTAATCACTGCCCCGCTAATTAATCCCTGCGCTAATTAACCCCTGCGGGTCATTAACCTCTGCGGGTCATTAATCACTGCCCTGCTAATTAATCCCTCCTCTGCTAATTAACCCCTCCGCTAATTAACTCCTGCGGGTCATTAACCCATGCGGGTCATTAATCATTGCCCCGCTAATTAATCCCTTCGCTAATTAACCCCTGCGGGTCATTAACCTCTGTGGGTCATTAATCATTGCCCCGCTAATTAATCCCTCCGCTCATTAATCTCTCTGCTAATTAATCCCTGCGGGTCATTAACCCCTGCGGGTCATTAATCATTGCCCCGCTAATTAATCCCTCCGCTAATTAACCCCTGCGGCTCATTAACCCCTGCGAGTCATTAACCATTGCCCTGCTAATTAATCCCTCCGCTAATTAATCTCTCCGCCAATTAATACCTCCGGATCATTAATCATTCCCGGTAATTAATCACCTCCCGCAGTAATTAATAATCCCCGGTAATTAATTATGCCCCGATAATTATTTATGTCCCTCCCGGTAATTAATAATCCCCGGCAATTAATTATGCCCCGATAATTAATCATCCCTCGGTAATTAATAAACCCCGCTAATTAATTATGCCCCGGTAATTAACCATCCCCGGTAATTAATTATGCCCCCGTAATTATTTATGTCCCTCCCGGTAATTAATCATCCCCCGGTAATTAGTCATGCCCGGGTAATCAATCAATCCCGGTAATTAATTGAATCCCCCGATAATTAATCCCCCGCAGTAATTAATTATCCCCCTGCAGTAATTAATCATCCCCCGCTAATTAACCATCCCCGGTAATCAATCTCCCGCTGTAATCGATCCCCGGTAASGGATCCGGCGCTAATTAGCGGTAATTACCGCGCACCTCATTAGTGCCGCAGGTGGCGGGGGGGAGGGGCGGGCGGGTCACGGCCCCGCGTTCCGCGCGCGCGCACCTGGAGCTGTCAGTTAGACCCGGCTTAACCCGGTTAATCCTGGTTTAACCCCCGTGCGCACCTGGAGCTGTCAGTTAAACCCGGCTTAACCCAGTATATCCCGGTTTAACCCAGTATATCCCAGTTTAACCCCCGCACGCACCTGGAGCTGTCAGTTAAACCCGGCTTAACCCAGTTAAACCCGGTTTAACCCAGTATATCCCGGTTTAACCCAGTTTAACCCAGTTAAACCCAGTTTAACCCAGTATATCCTGGCTTAACCCAGTTAAACCTGGCTTAACCCAGTTAAACCCAGTTTAACCCAGTATATCCCGGTTTATCCCCCGCGCGCACCTGGAGCTGTCAGTTAAACCCGGCTTAACCCAGTTAAACCCGGTTTAACCCAATATATCCCGGTTTAACCCAGTTTAACCCAGTTAAACCCAGTTTAACCCAGTATATCCTGGCTTAACCCAGTTAAACCTGGCTTAACCCAGTATATCCCAGTTTAACCCAGTATATCCCAGTTTATCCCCTGCACGTATCTGGAGCTGTCAGTTAAACCTGGCTTAACCCGGTTAAACCCGATTTAACCCAGTATATCCCGGTTTAACCCAGTATATCCGGGCTTAACCCAGTTAAACCCGGTTTAACCCAGTATAACCCGGTTTATCCCCCGTGCGCACCTGGAGCTGTCAGTTAAACCCGGCTTAACCCAGTTAAACCCAGTTTAACCCAGTTAAACCCCTCCGTGCACCTGGTGCTGTCAGTTAAACCCGGCTTAACCCGGTTAAACCCGGTTTAACCCAGTATATCCCAGTTTAACCCAGTTAAACCCGGCTTAACCCGGTTAAACCCAGTACAACCCAGTTAAACACCCCAACCTGACCAGGCCCCGTCATGGACCCCGCCCACTGCCACGCCTCCCGCCCAGGCCCCGCCCCCTGGTCAGACCACGCCCCCCGCACAGACCACGCCCATACCCGGAAGAATAAACAGCACTTTTGGGGGAGGGGCGACTTTATTGACACGGGGGGGGGAGGGGACACACCGGGACAGGCCCCGCCCCCAC